GGAAGCCAAGATTGGAGCAACTGAGCGACGTCTTTGGCCATATTTTGAGTGGCTTCCTTTTGATTCACACATTGGCCAGCCGAGCGAGATCGAAAAGTAGCAAGTTTGTCCAAGTCCACATTGCGGGTGCGAGTTGCGATACCAATTCAGCAACAAATACTGTAGTGCCTATGTTGTCAAAAGGAAGGACGAAGGTTTCTCGTCCGTATGCAACACGGCGGAGCCAGGTGTTGTGTAAGCCCTGGTACAAGAACTTCCAGAGTGGGACTTGTAAAGGATCCATACCTTCAATGTCTTTGTAGCTCGAAAAACGGCTTTGTCGGATTCTGGAGGGAAAGTCCAAGCCATTGATCTTGTTGGAGTCGTGGAAATCGACATCGGGTTTCCATTGGTCCACCGGAGGAATCTCGATCGGCCGACAGGTATATCCTTCATTGACAGCAGAGCATGCGCCCGGGGATGACATAGGTCTCGGCGATCTTGGTGTGAAAGGATGTCGTTGAGGTGCAAAATTGGCGTTGTTGGGAGGTTGTTGGGAAAACGTAGGTGGTGTAGGTGGGAAAGGTGCCGTAGATGGAGTCCATGGGGGCCGTGTTGGGAACGATGTAGATGTAGGTGGCGGAGGCGGTACCCCCGAAGGGTTCCAAATTGGTCGATGGGTTGCCATCGCATAGTGCATCGGGCCCCGGAACATAGGTACTGTTTGGTGCCAGCCATGTTGATGTCGAGGAGGTGTGCGTGAGCGATCCGGCTGGGAAGGAGGAATTGCATTCAAGTCTGAGCTATACTGGGAGATCAAATCCTGGGACGCCATGATGTAGACGGAAGCCACGAGATGATAGATCAAAATAAGCTCGATCAGCCGACTGAAAACTGCGGTAGGGTGAGAAGGTGATACGAAGGTGGCGTGCGATCAGAAAAGTGTGAAACATGATAAACTGCCCCGGTGTGTGAGACGTGAGGTGAAAATCGAGGGAAACTCAGAATTCAAATACCATGAGCATGCAGCCAAACAAATACCTTTTGATGGAAGAAGTGGCGTCAATACCGAATGTCGGGAGAAGCATTGTTACTCCAAAAGAATCGGGCAAGGCCACTAGGCTCACTAGATCGCTGTCGCGGAATAGTCGATAGTTTGCCAGGTATTCCTCAAGGGTGAAGTGTTTACCATCGAGATCTGGAGTAGTTGTATGCCGAAGTGCGAGAACGAGCTTGGCCTTCACGGTGCTGATCTCGAGAATGGCCTTCGCGGTAGGATGAACGGCGATCTCGACGGTTGTATGTTGAACCGTCCAAAGAAGGATTGTCATGCCAATGTCGGCGAGCATGATCTCGTGTGGCATGTGCGGTGGTCTCGTGGTGGCTGGTGGTCGCTCGAGAGTCGTCTGGGGGTGGGTCTGAAGGTGCAGGTGTGTCAATGGTAGAGTCAGGTAGTGCTGGACGTTCATGGTCAGCTGGTGGTTCATTTGGTGCTGCGGCAGTGGATGGGTTTGTTTCCGCTGCCTGGTGCGTGATCAAGCCTGGATAAACCGAATGAGTAGAGGCAACGTAGCATATGGATGCAGCGCTGGAGTTCATAGCCGTTGCATTGTCTTTGCCCTTGGAGATGCCCTGTAGGTTGCACAAGCGTTGAATTTGGTCATTTCCTCCGGATAGGGCCCGCATGCATTTGGGAGAGCGACAGATGGCCAATAGGCCCGATGGGTTTTGTCCTTTCCCTATGCGGTAGAGCTGGGATGTACAGAGCTTGACGGCATAGCCCGGCAGGACATCGATGTCAGGAATCTCAGAGGACATGCCGAAGAACCCGTAACATGGGTATTGGGTCGGGTAGCCGGCTTCGTTTTTTGTCCAAGTTGCCGGGCGAACGCAATCTTCAGCAAGGATCTTGGCAACTGTTTCCCAACTCGTTTTGTGGTAGATCAGGTAGGTGCCCATGTGCTCGCCACGATAGATCGGTTTCTTGGGCAATCCCGTCGGGACCGTGATGGTCAGCAGGTTCTCTGGCTCGATGTAAAAGGCTTTGGTTTGCTTCGCCAGCTCGATGTCAAGTAATCTGGATTGTGCAAAGGCCCTGGCAATGTTCTTGACGGTGGCCTGACTTGCTCTGATGAAAATACGTTGATTGTTGACGTTGCGATATGGTTGGGCCAACTGGAGGAACATCTCGTCAACGAACTGGTTGAAGAGCTGCATGTTGGACTGGTTCAATGATTGGCGTAGGGATATTGTATAGTCGGGGCCGAGCTCGGTCAAGCAACGTACCCTGAGTGGATCGTTGGCCGCCTCGACCATTTCACTGAGGTCGATGTCATTCGAGTCAAATTTTGAGATCGAAAATGCATCTGTCACCTCGGAGTTTTCGCTGTCGCCGTCAGGGACGCGGAAGGCCACGGCTCCAAGTGGTGCTGCGGGAGGTAATGGTGGGTTGGTAGATGTTTCAGGTGGTGGTGGGCCGGCGGGAGAGTTGGGTCGAGCATTGTTGTGATGGTATTGGTCGGGGTTGTGACTGTTGTTCCATTCGCCCCAGGTGTCATCAGCATCAGGTGGGGATGTAGGCCGGATTGGATGGGCGTGCAGCTGGTCGTAATACGACTTCGCGGCCTCTGGAACGACGACGAGGGGTTCTTGAACGTGGTCTGGGGTGAGATCGATGACGTCGAGGAACCACGGGAGAGCGGCGTCTTGGTGGTGATCGTCGTCGGTATGGAGAAGGAGTTCGGCGGTCCTTGTCGTGTTTCGTGGAAGACCGAAATCGAGGAAGGGGAGAACGAGGTCGAACAGCACGGCGAGGAGAATGTCGACGATGATGTGGTTGTGCAGAAGGTCGACGAGAACGGGATCTTGGAGTCCTGGATCGTGGTCTATGCGGTTGCGACGTTGGAGCATGTAGGTGGTGAGGCAGAGAAGTGGCTGGAAGAGAGATGATGCGATGGTCCGGAACTTCAGGTTCGGTGGGTCGTGCTTTCGGTGCAGGTGGGGGCATGGTTGAAGGTGGTGTTGTTGCTGTAGGCAATGGTGTAGGCGGTGTAGGGTCCGGTGCAGGTACATCGTGGTGGAGAAGCAGCTGACGTTGTTCTTGGGCGCGTTGAGAATCCAAAATCAGTTGTTGTTGAGCTTGAATAAGACGGACCGATTCGGCCAGTTGTTGTGTAGTGGAACCCAGCGCTGCAAGTTCTGGTGAAATGGATGGAGACGGTGCTGCCGTTGGTGCCGGTGGTGTAGCATGGAGAGAGGCTTTTGGAGCTGAACGACGTGGTTTGTCAGGTTTCTTGTCGGAGCGAAGCTTTGGGGCAGCCTTAACTGCCGGTGGTGGAGGTTCATCTGGAGGAGCCATAGATGCTTCCGTTGATAATGGAGGGTGAAGGTTGTGAGGTGGGTATGGAGAGCTCTGCAATGGTGTCGGTGGAGTAGTCGGTGTAGGCGATGAAGCTGGAGCAGAATGCCATGCGGGTGGAGCGGTGGGTGCCGCAGGGGTAGTGAAGGTCGGTGGAGCGGTGTGCACCATGGTGGTTTCAGGAGCCAGAGGTGCGGGCATTGTAGGCACGAGTTGAGGGCCTGGTACCGCATGAGGAGCCGAAGGCAATGATGTAAATGGCAAAGATGATGTGACTGACGTAGACGGCATGAGCGGAGATGACGAAGACCATGTAGGATGTAGTGGCGAAGGATGTCCAAACAAATGTGCGTTCTGCGGTGATGGTGGCCACGTCGAAGATGGATTCGTAGGCTGCGGTGGAGCAGGCCATGACGTCGGAGGAGTAGTCCACGGGTACATCGCTCAGGTAGAGAAAACTACAATGGAAAGTCACACAACAGAATTCACGACCAGGATTCAGTCCCTAGATTCCTAAGAGTCGTGCGATTATTCCCTGCACCGGGACCGTGGTCAAGTCTTGCCCCAATTGGCATAAAACGGCTTTCAAGTTCCATCGAATTAGATGCACAAAATGTTGAACCTCACCAGACAACCATCAAAAGAAAGAGACACCACACCTGAAAGTCGTGTGCCTGCCTGATTCCTGTATCCAATGCTGTTGTCATGAATCGTCAGAAGCAGCTGCGAAATGGAGAAGGTTTCTGATTGTTTCGAACAACGTCACGCTTGAAGAATGAAATTCACAGAGGATCTCAAAGGACGGCCGGATCCGCGGGACTTCGCAAAAGGTGCATAACCGAAAGGCCAACTGTTTCGCTTCACTTAGATGAATTACCAAATTAAAATGTGTGAATTCAGAATTCAAGACTGTCAACACTCACCCTGAAGAGGGTTGCCTCAAATGGCTCCATGGCACCATGTCGGAGCCACCATGGAAATCACACTAGACAAGAATGGATCATTATATGATCCGGCAGGAACTGAATCCTGAAACATGCAGATTAGATACGAAACAATGAAATTAACGAAGCATCCTACGAATAATAGAAGTTCACCTGAATGGTTTCCATGTCCAAATTCGTCATCAAAAGGAATCGGCGATCGTAGTGTTGTCGGCGAAATAATCCAAAAAAAACCCAAGTATCGTCGGCGACATGGTTTCGGCGAAAACTGAGGAAGGTTCTGATGCAGCGAAACAAATCATAAATGACCAAAATTGATTCCAGATTGCGACAACAGTGCAGTAACAAGACAGCGTGTTCAACAGTTCAAAATATCGCAGGTACGTTTTCACCCCCATGCTGTCTGGTCTTCGTTGGCCAGGACAGTCATGGGTTCCTGGCCCCCTGCAAATGTGAGATAAAACCAAAAGAAGTTTTACATCTGTTCAGATGTTACACACACACACACAATTGGCACCTTTTGGAAGGCCTAAGGCATGCCAATTGTTGGATGTTTAAAAGGTTTAGGGACGTGAGAATCGTCAGAATCATCCGACGCCAGATTTCTGTGGAAAGATGTATATAGAACAAAGCTGCAACAGACCTGAGCTTGCCCAGATTTGGAGACATGCCCATATTAAACCAACCCATCAAAGTGAATTTCTTGCAATCCAAGATGCAATCAACTCAATGCACTTCATCTGCCTCTCCTTGGCGCAACTTCAGCAGCACAAGACTGGGAAGGTCATTAGATTTTAGATCTATACACCGGAAATTTCACCATGGAAACCCCAAACATGCGGTTTGTAAGATGATTTTCCCATGGATGGTGGCCATTTTGGGGTTCCGTGTTCAGTTTAGGGCCAGTTTAGGGTGTGTGTGTGTGTGTATGTGTGTTGGTCATTGGGAACTGCTCTTCCAATCCAGCTAGTCGCCAACCCATCCATCTTCCTTGATAACTAATGTATAATTGTGATCCCCTTTGATTGAAGGGTAGGAACCCTTACCCCCCCATTCCATCAAAATATGTTTATGGATTATGTATGTATATGTTAAAGCTAAATTCCATCAAAACCCTTACCCCACAAATTGGTTGATGATTGACAGTTAAAGTATCTTGTACACCTGTCAGGCTCACCTTCTCCGCCTGCACGAGGCCTGCCATGACAGGGTCAGCCTGGACACGTCGGATGGGTCAGTCCAGTGGAGGTTTCAAAAATGGTTGGTGTAGAATTGAAAATCCTCTAAAAAATGGGATGATTTGGTTGTTGTACCCCCATTGTAGGAAACCTGACACTATTTTCTGGGTAAAAATCATGAAATAGTCCATTTCTTGTGGTTGACATGTTGATCGTGTTTGTTGTTTATGAAGGATTCATCCATGTTTCATCGTTTTTCCGGAGAAATGTTGACAGTTGTGACGCTTTCTCTAACAACATGCCGCGAGTTGCGATCTGGAAAAAATTCACGTGGAAATCCTGTGATTTCTTCGCTGACATGGTGTCGTTTGTTGCAAGCTACTCGCTGTAGACAGCTGTGCACTTGATAGGAAGATCCTATCACATTCTCTGACACAACAAGATCAATAAGTATAAAAATTGACATGGCGACAGCAGCACCCACAAATCCCACCTCGCTCAGGGGGCGGTTTCCGGACAGCTGGGGGCGAGACATGGTCGGAACCTGTCGGAGGCAGCAAGTGGTTCAATAAAAATCGAAATTCCTTCACAAAGGTGGGAAGTATGTCTCCGCTTCAAAACCTCCAAAAAATCAAGATCTATATCTCGAGCTGCATTTCCAGTCGGAATCACTTCCACGAAACAACTCGGCAGCCGCACTGCGTGAAGCGGACACGGAAGGATGGGCGGTCTTTTAATGTTTTAATAAGGCGTTTGGGCCGGGCACTGCGGCACACAGAGGCTGCCATAGCTTTCACCCTACAGACCTCAACCAAGCGTACATGTTTTTGTCAAAAAGTCTTGACTCATGCGAGATTAAAATGTAGTATACCTCAATGGATTGGTTTAAGGGAAAATTTTATGGGAAAGCCCCATATTTAATGGGAAAATCTATGGTTTCCTGTAAATTTTCCCTTAAACCAATCCATTGATATACCCATTGTATACCCTAGATTCAGGATGGTTTCCATGCCACCCCTGAGAGCGCTGCTGACGGTGTGTGCCACCCTGAGCGGTGCCGAGCCAAATTCACCTTCGTTTTCCAAGATGTCTTTCAACAAAACTGTAAAATAACCTAGATCTCCCAATAGTACATACTTCTAAAACACATCAAAATACATCATCATTGTCATACTCTATGTTTTGTAAGACTACAGTAAGTTATTGTTCTTCTGCCACAGCCCCTCCGCTGAGGCAGCAAACCGGATATTGCAGGTCTCGCATGATCCTTGCGTGTCTTAAATTTCAAACGAGTGTTGATGGATGTGGGTCTGTCTACCCAAAAAATTGCCATTTACTAAGGGCACTGATGATTACCCGATTCACCCGTGGATTTAAGGCGAAAGCGCATCATTCTTAGGACAAGCTGATGTCTGTCAGGATCTGTGTCTCAAATTTGGGTGCAGCAGTCACAACCGGCTCCTGGCGACTTCCGCCATGACCTTGGGCTTTTTCAGAGCACCTCAAGTGCAGTCACTAGTTGAAACCTTTTGGGAACCCCAAAATGGCTTGACTTCAAAGCCTGGCTAGGATTCTTAATGTTGAACCCATCCAGAAATTCACGAAAAAAATCACATTTGGGATGTGAGTAGGGTGAGTATCACACAAAGGGGGTCCAAAACAGCGCCCAAAAATGGGCCTGGCGGCCTGGGGCCTCCAACTGGCGAATGCCTTTACGTCCAAGTCCGCAAATTCATTCTCCTGTCGGCCACAATCCACCAACCACCATGATGTTCCCCTATAGCCCTATAGCCATTTAGGAGGGCATGCCCCGATTTTTGACAAACTCATCTGTCTAACGATCTGAAATCTAGAATCTAAACCACTGCCTGACAAAGATGTCCAGTTCATCATGGTTCAGGTTACTCGGTTGAAGACCAACCCAGGTGAGATCACATCAAGCGCACCTCCGTATAGCCCCTGGCCAGCCAGGAGAGTGGTGGATCTGGTGTTCATTTGGCCCAGTGGAAAGTGGAGTTATCGCAGTTTATCCCAGACGAAAACGACTTCGGATATGGAAACCTTTGGGCAGCCGTAGCTGTTCGTTCCAAGTAGTCGAAGGTCTTGATTGAAGGGACATTTAGGTGAAAACCAAGGTTCTTACCAAAAAGATACGAAATTCTTGCATACGTTCGCTTGAAACGATCCTGGGATATAGGATAATAATGGATGCTATCGATACAGGCCTCTGCCCTTGCTAGCCGTCATCACTCCCTACCATGGCCGCCTTTCTCTGGTGACTTTGATGAGCCACTCCATCAACTCCTGACCTCATGCCAGATGCCAATCAGGGAAACCTCCAGAAATGGCAATCCACTATGGCCATCCACTTGCACCATCTGCATCAGTTTTGTTGGGCCAAAAAAAAAGGCAACATCATCCGCAACATCTGTTAAATCCTCGGCGCCCCCAGGTCTCCTATGGCCAACTGATGGGGGAAGGTACGAAAGCTCTCAAGCTGAGCGCCAGGACAAGCAGCCAAATCTGGGTCCTCAACTGATAAGTTGTCTGTGACTCAGGTCAGCAAAGGGAGATCAATGCTCTGGACCCTGGTGTCATAGTTCAATGTCTGTCAAAAACGCTTGAGCCCTGGCCCTTGGGGTCTCTCTCGAGGCGGGAAATTTCGAAGTCTTGGCTACAAGGGACTTGTGCATGTCTTCTAGCGGATACCTGGACACCGGCACCACACCAATCATGGCATGGTGGAAATTAATCTGGGGGAGATGATGGGTGTATGTTTCAAAATCAATTACCCCAAAAATTGCATGGTTTAGGGATGATTTGTGTATGTTTCAAAATCAATTACTCCAAAAACTGCATGGTTTATGGATGATGTGTGTATGTTTCAAAATCAATTACCCCAAAAATTGCATGGTTTAGGGATGATGTGTGTATGTTTCACACCCATCATGGCTGTAAAATTATCTGGGGATGATGTGTGTATGTTTCAAAATCAATTACCCCAAAAATTGCATGGTTTAGGGATGATTTGTGTATGTTTCAAAATCAATTACTCCAAAAACTGCATGGCTTATGGATGATGTGTGTATGTTTCAAAATCAATTACCCCAAAAATTGCATGGTTTAGGGATGATTTGTGTATGTTTCAAAATCAATTACCCCAAAAATTGCATGGTTTAGGGATGATTTGTGTATGTTTCAAAATCAATTACTCTAAAAACTGCATGGTTTATGGATGATGTGTGTATGTTTCAAAATCAATTACCCAAAAAATTGCATGGTTTAGGGATGATTTGTGTATGTTTCAAAATCAATTACTCCAAAAATTGTCAAAACGGTTTTTTTTAGGGATGATTTTGTTGTATGTTTTCAAAATTCATTAACCCCCAAAAATTTGCCCATCGTTTAGGGATGATTTTTGTTGTATGTTTTTTTCCCAAATCAATTACTCCCAAAAAACCTGCTGGTTTATGGAATGAAATGTGTGTATGTTTTTTCAAAATCAATTACCCAAAAAAATTTTCATGGTTTAGGTAGGGAATGAATTTGGTAGTTTTTCAAAAAATCAATTACTCCAAAAACTGCATGGCTTATGGATGATGTGTGTATGTTTCAAAATCAATTACCCCAAAAATTGCATGGTTTAGGGATGATTTGTGTATGTTTCAAAATCAATTACTCCAAAAACTGCATGGTTTATGGATGATGTGTGTATGTTTCAAAATCAATTACCCCAAAAATTGCATGGTTTAGGGATGATGTGTGTATGTTTCAAAATCAAATCCTCCAAAAACTGCATGATTTAGAAACTAAGAATCACCCATTTTGGCGATTGGTACCCAATTTCTAAGCCATACTTGGCTACAAGATCCACGCACCAGCGTTCAGTGGATTTGGTGCCCAGCTCCCACACCAACAGCGCGGCGCACATGCGTTGCAACCATTGAAGTACCGCCAATTCCTTGGGCAAGAGCCTCGGTGATCTGGTTACCCTCTGGTAATTTAACATAGCTATTGAAAATACCACATTTATAGTGGATTTTCCCATTAAAAAATTGTGATTTTCAATAGCTATGTTAAATTACCAGAGGGTATCTTGAGTATCTTGAGTCCCAGCTGTGACAACCTCAAGCTGGAATAAAAATGGGTAAATGGGTTACACGTGGGCAGTTTTCATAGGGAAAATAAATGAAAATGATGATGATGATGATGATGATGATATTTATCGATAATAGTAGTACTACTATGATTATTAGTGTTAATATCCACTATCATTACTATCCTTATTGATGATGATGATGATGATGATGATGGTAGTGGTTTATTAATGTTAATGGTTATCCATGGTTATTAATGGTTATTAATGGATGATGATGATGATGGAAAAAACACTCCACGTGCTTCGATTGCCCAATGACTTGACCGCAATGACTCGGGGGAGACCTGCGCCAAGATGCTTGGTCAAAGCCACCTCGGAGGTCCCAGCAGTCACCTGCAAGGAGACAACTGGATGTGGATCGAATCACATGAATTAATCTGCCTCTGCGACTGGAAACACAAGATGATTCAAGCACTTAAACCATCTTAAACATACTGAAACCATCTTTAACCTCTTATCAACTCCCAAAAAGCATGACTGCATTAAGAAATTCCATCACCATGTAATCACCATGAATTAAGCAGATTGTCCATGCAAAACTCTGAGCCGCACAGTGGCCCATTGGGTTCCCAGACGGGTGCGCTACCCGAATCACTGTGGTCGTTCGAAAAGTGGTCGTCCACGTGAGTTTCGCGGTCCCCACTGTCCGACCTTCGGGAAAATTCAAACATCACCGGAGCATTGCGGACTTGGCTTCAACCTCTGAACTGAAGGATGTTTGAGATCAAAAGAATGGGACATTTACATACATTTATCGTCATATAGGTGGTATAGGTGACAGGTCACTTGATTGTTACAGTTGAATCAGTTGCTTCTCGGGCTCCCCACGCCGGATCTGTCGTACTTGCATCGCTGTCACCCTGGATGAGAGGATACTGCGGATGCTTCTCATTGCTATTCCGGGCGATTCCTTTTTGGACTGAGCAGCGTGAAGAGACTAAAGAGTAATTTGGTTAGAACAATAGTAAACCATTCCCCAAATCACCATAAATAGGTGGTATGAACCATTCCGAAATGGATGGTTTATTGTGTTTATTATTGTTTTGCCCTCATTACTACAGTATAGGCTACACAGCACTGAGCTGCCGCACTTGCGCTCGAAACCTGCGCCACCAGGGGCGAGCACCCACTTCCTCGGCCAACTCCGGTCAGACTGTGGACTGGCCTACTTGGAGGATCATCCCGAGCTGGCAACTGGTTCGTAACCGGAAGTCTCTAACTAGGTTTATTCCCATTTGTAACTGGGTTATAACCCGACTTACTGACCAGTTATGAAATGGGATGATCCTGCAAGTAGGAATTAATGAACCAAAGACATGTGTGAACCTCCCTGTGTCAAAGCTGAAAAGGACCAAAGGTCTTTCATTGTTTTCACAGGGACAACAACCCTACTTGGAGTGTCATCCCACCTAGTAACCGCTTAGTCACCATAGTTATACCAGAGTTATACCAATCTCATGGGATAAGATCCTGTAAAACCATAGTTTTCCCATAGTTACACCATCGGTATGCCATAGTTACACCCAACTGACCACAGTTATACCCTAGTTACAACATGTTTATACCATAATTATACCATAGTTATGCCATATTATCCTTCGTTATTTC